GCTGTTACTACATCAGCTCATTTGAACGCACGGGTCGTAGCAATACTGAAGATATTGCCAACTTCCAGGGAACAGACTGATATGAGACTAGTGAAGAAAAGGAATCAAAATAGAAATGCTTCATCTCATAACTTACCAGACGCTCAAACAAATATGGAATGTGGCATGCGAAACATATTGAAATATTATTAAAAAAAAAAGGCTAAATTTTAGCGAAACCTTCTAATCAGTTTTGCATAGCTCAGTTAAATGTGTGAGATAAAATATAAAAAAAAAATCAAATATGAAAGCAGAATCTAACGAGAAGAAAGAAATGATATATTCGACATGAGATTCTTCGAAGTGCAATTTACGAAGTCAATGTACTTCGAAGATTGTAACCTAAAGGGCCAAATGAAACGGAACTCACTGTCATAAAAGGTAATTAAGATATTACTGGACATTTGCACTTGAATCCTTAAGAAACATTGATATTGTATGACAACTTATATATTTAATATTTTACCCCACAAACAAATTTGTTAAGGATTAAACACAATAACAGATTTTTGTTCATCGCCATAAGAGCTTATATGAGCACTATACAATACTCCACTAAAACGAACACACACTGGAAAAGAAAATATGAGAAGTTGGAGAAGCATGACCGACAGCTTAAAACAATCATAGATATTAACTGACCCACATCACCCATGAAGCGGGAAATAAAAACACGCCAGAGATGGAACATCACAACAACGACAGAGAGAGAGAGAGAGAGAGAGAGAGAGAGAGAGAGAGAGAGAGGAGAGAGAGAGAGAGAGAGAGAGAGAGAGAGAGAGAGAGAGAGAGAGAGAAAATGAGAAGGTTGGGGGGATGTGATGGGAGGAGGGGATAGGAGGAAGAGGTTGAGAGAGAGGAACCTTTCTCATGGACAGCACCGACACTGATCATTCATGCGGTTTGAGACATACGGTCACAACAAGCAGGTGATAGAGAAATCCCATCAACTTCATAAAAAAAAACAGTAAGCTGCAGATCATAGTTTACAGCAGCTTCACTCAGTAAGATCGTTACATATAAAACAAAGCATGTAGTTTTCAATTGAAGATGGGTAGGGAAATAGCTCCTAGCTTGACGATGTACAATAGTTTTCATTAAACCTGTAGAGAACTTAAGTGTAAATAAATAAATGAAAAGAGAATGGAAACAGAAAAGCCAGGCAGGGAAGAGGATAGAGAGCATTGAATAGATAAAATCGAAAGCAACTAGTCTGATGTACTGTGCTAGTAGTATTATCTCACGCTTTCTTTAGTTATATTTTAAGCCACTTGCACCAATTAATATTGCACTGCCTAAGGTCTTCTTCATCACCTCTCTCTCTCTCTCTCTTGTGCATCATAACCCAGCAATTTTTTTTTTTCTCCCTTTCTCACGTGCCACATTACTTGTGAAAAATTTCCACGATAGATGCACAACAATCACTAGCACGGACTTCGGACTGGCCAACACTTCTTTTCAACGACCAGTCTTGTTTCTCCCTTTTAACACCCCTTCTATACACATTACTATCGTCATCACCTGTGTCTAGATTTGGGCTTGGCAACTAATAGGCTTGTTGAGTTTAAAATCTATCAGCTGCACCTGGGTAACTGAAATCGCAGTTCACTTACAATCAAAAAATTCTTTCATCCCAAAAACAGGCAGAGGTTTCCTGAGAGACTTGGGCTCGAAATGTGTGCTGGAGAAGATTAAAGATGGTTGAGTGGAGAAAAAGATGGGGATGTTGGTCGTAAAGAGCAGAAGGGACAATTATCTCGTCACTGTTGTGACGGGAAAAGTCCTCAGTAATTACAGCATAATATTGTGTGTTCCGTAACTGATTCTTACAATGGAACTTTATATATATTTATTCCTCCTGCAGCGTGCTAGTGGTGCTGGTTGCGACAAGATCTATTCCCGGGATGAGGAGAACGTCTGGAGCACTCGAGGTGAGCATATTACCACCATTATCACCTTTCTTCTCTACTGCACTTTCATTATGACCAAAATTACCTTCACCACCACCAAAACTCCCATCACTACATACAAAATCCCCATCAATGCCACATTTACTTTCGCCAACACCACAACCACTAAAACAAATTCACTACTATTATTATCACCATAATCAGCTTAACAGCCATGACTCCTACGACCTTCCACTTAGCACCACAGCCCCAAGAAAGAAAGTTGGAAAATCTAATGTAGTCTGGTCGTAGACAAGGGCAACAGAAAGACGACCATTTTTTTTCTTTTATATCTAGGTAGACGGGATGGACCTTGTAACATCGAAACAATCCCTCGCGTTAGGAGGAAAAGGAGGATTTGCCTTGATAAAACATTTACGAGTCACTGAAACTCTTCATGATCACACACACAGACGTGCACACAAGCACATGTACGCATACACACGTACACACACGCACGTACACGTACACACGTATGCAGTACCAGTTTGATACCGACAGGATGAAATTAAGACACATGCGCAACATTTTTATAGCAATTACAAATAATAGCAGTTACAAATAATGAATCAGAAGATAAAACGTAACAAACATAAACAAGGGAACAAGCAAAACCAATTGTCAGACCAACAAAGAGACAGAAAAAAATGGAGATGCGGACATTCACAGTTCTGTAGCACCACTGTAGGGAAGAACGACCATTTCGTCCGCTGAGTCTACAATTACCAATGACGAATGTAGACACAGGAATAAACAATCCTCTAATTACATGGATCATTTGTGAATTACAGATGTTACCTTACCTTGATACTTGATAAAGTACGTCAAGAAATTAGAGAAAGTGCAAAGGTTTGCGACAAGGTTAGTTCCAGAGCTAAGGGGAATGTTCTACGAAGAAAGGTTAAGGGAAATATGCCTGATGACACTGGAGGACAGGAGGGTTAGGGGAGACATGATAATGACATACAAAATACTGCGTGGAATAGACGGGGTGGACAGAGACAGGATGTTCCAGAGAGGGGACACAGAAACATGGGGTCACAATTGTAAGTTGAAGACCCAGATGAGTTAAAGGGATGTTAGGAAGTATTTATTCAGTCAGAGAGTAGTCAAGAAGTGGAATAGTCTAGCAAGTGAGGTAGTAGAGGCAGGAACCATACATAGCTTTAAGATGAGGTATGATAAAGCTCATGGAGCAGGGAAAGAGAGGACCTAGTAGTGCTCAGTGAAGAGGCGGGGTCAGGAGCTGAGTCTCGACGCCTGCAACCACAATTAGGTAAGTGCAATTAGGCGAGTACACACACACACACACACACACACACACACACACACACACACACATCGTGGTTTAGAATCAATTATCCATCCTAATCTCCACTAATCTTTCATGTTCAATCAAGATAACGATTCGTCCAGACAATGACCAAGGTACTAATGTTTCCTTGACATACTAAACTTAGTTTATCATTAAAGAAAATTTAATAAATGTATCTGAGTCAAGAAATGTAAGGAGCTCCGACGAACCACGTCCCAGGGTCGCCTCCTTAACCCATTATGTTGAGAAACGTACATCTACTTTCATTGTGCGTCTAGGTTAGAGCACTCGCACATATCTCACATCCTTCGCTGAATAGAAAGTGATGTATTCCAGCAGAAGGCGCTAGAGGCAACACCCCGCTTATCGGCATTATAGATGACTATTGTTGCTCCTCATCCGGGAGAAGCTATCGTACTTTGACTTCTCCCGGTGGTTGTTATGAAGCCCAGAATACATACTAAGCAGCAGCAGCATGAAGATTAACAAGAATAACATCTACAAAAATTTCAGTGACAGTACCGCCAGTAGCTCAAGCAACAATAACAGCGACAGCGTCTTTTTATGGAGGTGAAAGGTCATACCGGACATAAAGGTAAATAGGGTGGTATCTTTTGAGTGTGTTCTGTGTAGTGGGGGGGGGGAGGCAATACTTTCTGAAATTGCCCTTACTGTTGTATATTTTACGAAGATTACCATACAACTGATTTTTTTAGAATCCTAAATTTATAAATTAAAGATTAAATTTAAGAAAAGCAGATTCAGACATTTTCGGGGATGTGGGATTTCTTTGTAATGCAAAAAGAATGAAAAAAAAAATCCACTAAGAAAAGGTAAGGTAACATCTGTAATTCACAAATGATCCATGTAATTAGAGGGTTGTTTATTCCTGTGTCTACATTCTTCATTGGTAATTGTAGACTCAGCGGACGTGATGGTCGTTCTTCCCTACAGTGGTGCTACAGAACTGTGAATGTCCGCATCTCCATTTTTTTCTGTCTCTTTGTTGGTCTGACAATTGGTTTTTGCTTGTTCCCTTGTTTATGTTTGTTACGTTTTATCTTCTGATTCATTATTTGTAATTGCTATTATTTGTAATTGCTATAAAAATGTTGCGCATGTGTCTTAATTTCATCTTGTCGGTATTATATACCATTCTTGTACTACTACTACTGCTACCACCACCTCTTCCTGCCTATATATAGCCGTCCTGCTCCACTTCTGGTTAGTGTGACTTTGTAAATGGTCCAAGTCGGACCGAAACGTCGTCGTAAGCTTCTCTCTTTTTATGTGTGGGTTATTTGTGTATCGTTCCAGTCACGGTATGTGCCTTTTTTTGTTATTTAATTTTTTTATATTACAGTGAAGTAATCCATTAAGTTCTGCCTTCATAAAGAACGTGAATCGTAAATCTGATGTCAGTCTGTCAATATATTTCTCATTCTGTTAAGTATTATTTCTACATAATTTCCTGACGAACCTCAAGACATGTTTTTCTTCAGTATGCCATGGCAATTCTCAAACGATAGTTACATAGAATAATTAGCATTAATAAATTATCTTTACGTATAAATTACAGTATTTTATCTGTCCATTCCACGCACCTCTCCTGGTTTCTTGCATTGCTTTTCGTTATCCCTTACATTATTTTCTATTTTGTTTATTATGTTTCTTACATATTCCGCCCCTTTATGTAGGTGATACGTCGGCTGGGAGAGAGTCCTGCAGGACAGATGAAGGTGATTCAGGGGAGACCGCTGGCAGGAGAGTCACCTATATACACCATCCGTCTACGTCCTACACCTTATTACTACATTCACAACGTCCTCACTTCAGTCCCTACACTGCCGCGCCAAAAGGTACTTAATTATTCTACCAAACCCCTAAGTAATTATTTTACGACACTAAAGAAAATGTATAAATAAGCCGGTCAGCAATGTAATTAATTATTCGCCCACGCTGCAAGACCACAAGGTAATTTACTTGATCACGCTGGAAATTTTTTTCCAATTCTGTCACAGTTCTTAAACACTACGTAAAATAATTCATCCAGAAATATCTTCCACCATTCTTGAATATTTTTAATGTTACTTTATTGATTATGAATAGGAAACTCTTTCTTGCATTTTGGCAGATTATTTAATGAAAAAAAGCGTATGGGGCTGCAGGCATTTAAACAAAAGTACAATCTCGTGCTTAGAACATGCGAGGTTTATTTATTTTAAAACTATGAAAATGTAAAATTTCTCTTTAATATTACTGTTATTAATTACTATTAAAAGTTTCCCTATTACTCTCTTCACTAGGTTGATGTGGGCTTTATTAACAACGGGAAGCCTCAAAAAGTTTACCACTGGAACCCCCCACTGAAAGCCCACATCTACCGTACCTCATCACCACCAACCATGACATCAAAGCCCTTTCGGCCAACCACGGAAGCAAGAAAATCCTCTAAGTCGCCGTGGTTAACACTGAAGAAGTACTACGTGAGCAACGGCAAACCTTCCCGAGTGTACGTATGGAAGGACGACGACCCAGCGACTAACAAATATAGACACGTGAGAGTTCCTGCATTTTGAAACCTTTCGTCACTAGCAATGTTGAATGTATTCAAGGTGGTGGTGCTAAATTTCTCGACGCCAGAGAATGAAGCCTAGCTGTTTGGAGGATGTCTGCGGCGGGACGCTGATTGTATAATAACACTTTCTCACCCGCAGGCAGTGTAGAGTATAAGGTTGGTCTTCATAAAATTAATTAACAGCAGTTAACGTAACTGTTTCAGCCGGTGGAGAGCTTAATCACTAGACAGTACTAGTATCTGGGTTTCTTCAGACTCCATTAATAAAGTGCCTCCATGAAAAAAAAAAGATGAGACCCAAAATATTAAAGACTTTTGCTTAAATCTGTATGCTGCGTAGATACCTCTCAAACGGCATTCACTCAATTTACAGACGTTCTGTCCAAGCATTCTTTCTCTAGAATGTGTTCTTGTGACAGCTCTGCCCTGTATTCTTTATTATTATTATTATTATTATTATTATGATAATCAAGGGGGAAGCGCTAAACCCGTAGGATTATATAGCTCCCAGGGGAGGGGGGATGTGGAAGGCATTCAGGCTTAATTCGGGGAACTGGAGCACAGATCCAATTCCCTAAATCAAGAGCCCCTCACCAACGTCAAGGAACCTTCCATGAGGGGGCCTGTATTCTTTAGCCGAATAGAGGATGTTTTTAATATAAGGAAGCATTTAATACTTAAATCAAAGAATGAAAATACCTTGACTCTTCGATTACAATAATTCCCAAGAATAACATATGTTTTCTTGGCATCAATCATTAAAAACAAGTTAGGAGACATACATGTGATTTCAGATTCAACGAGAGAAAATGGTAATGAGAAATAATGAAAAAAAAAAAATCGGTGTTACTGCGTTGAAGTGTTATATCTCGTTCGGTTCGACTGTGAGTGATGCCTGAGGGAATTTTTTAAGATTTGTGTTGGAGCTCTCTATAGCCTATGAAATTAAAAAAAAAAAATTGACATAGCTCAAAAATGGGCTTAAGACTCATCTGCTTCGCTCTGGCTTGCTCGAATCCATATCGGAAGAGGCTTCAAAACAAAAACACCAGCGAGAAATCGATGGCCCTTCTGTGATGTACAGGGCCACATTTCTCAAGATTCTGCACACAGCTATTACTCCACGATGGGCAGTTATCGCCAGTTTCACTGACTACCTTTCTCGGAGACATTCTTTATCAGTGATCATTGTATCTTTATTAAGTGATCTGAGTTTGGAATACACTCTAACATATAAACATTCGACAAAGTAATTCTACTGATTAAGTTAAAGTGCTAGTCAATAGTTGACTCCGTATCTGTTCCTTATGTGTATGTTATTACATATACATCTGTAAATATATCATAATATAATGCTAGAATTATCTGGGATAGAATAAAAGGTTTCTGACAGTAATATAAATTTTGGCAATCCTAGTCTGACCTCCCGAGAACTCAAAGATGTAAAAATACTTATGTAAATCTCAAACATGCTAAAATGCATCAGTCGAGTAACTGATCTCTTTGTAATGAAAATGCTAAATAAGTAATGGAGGCCGTTCTGAGAGAGGGAGAGCGAGAGCGAGAGCAAGAGCAAGAGCAAGAGCAAGAGCAAGAGCAAGAGCAAGAGCAAGAGAGAGAGCAAGAGAGAGCAAGAGAGAGCAAGAGAGAGCAAGAGAGCAAGAGAGACAGCAAGAGAGACAGCAAGAGAGAGCAAGAGAGAGAGCAAGAGAGAGAGAGCAAGAGAGAGAGCAAGAGAGAGAGCAAGAGAGAGCAAGAGAGAGCAAGAGAGAGCAAGAGAGAGCAAGAGAGAGCAAGAGAGAGCAAGAGAGAGCAAGAGAGAGCAAGAGAGAGCAAGAGAGGCAGAGAGCAAGAGAAGAGAGCAGAGAAGAGAGAGAGCAAGAGAGAGAGAGAGCAAGAGAGAGCAAGAGAGAGCAAGAGAGAGAGAGAGCAAGAGAGAGAGAGAGCAAGAGAGAGAGCAAGAGAGAGAGAGAGCAGAGAGAAGAGAGAGAGCAAGAGAGAGAGAGAGCAAAGAGAGAGAGAGAGAGCAGAGAGAGAGAGCAAGAGAGAGAGAGAGCAAGAGAGAGAGAGAAGAGAGAGAGAAGAGAGAGAGAAGCAAGAGAGAGAGAGAGCAAGAGAGAGAGAGCAAGAGAGAGAGAGCAAGAGAGAGAGAGAGCAAGAGAGAGAGAGCAAGAGAGAGAGAGAGCAAGAGAAGAGAGCAGAGAGAGAGCAGAGAGAGAGCAAGAGAGAGAGAGGAGCAGAGAGAGAGAGCAGAGCAAGAGAGAGCAGAGAGAGAGAGAGCAAGAGAGAGAGAGCAAGAGAGAGAGAGCAAGAGAGAGAGAGCAAGAGAGAGAGGAGCAAGAGAGAGAAGAGCAAGAGAGAGAGAGACAAGAGAGAGAGAGCAAGAGAGAGACAAGAGAGCAGAGAGAAGAGAGAGCAGAGAGAGAGCAAGAGAGAGCAAGAGAGAGAGAGCAAGAGAGAGAGAGCAAGAGAGAGAGAGAGAGAGAGAGAGCAAGAGAGCAGAGAGAGAGAGAGAGAGAGAGAGAGAATTGCAGTGACCAGATCTTTGTAGTAACATGACTCACGAAATCGTAATGACACGATAGGTGGACGAATCTTGTTGTAGCTAGCCAGCTGGCCCAGTTGCTAGCGCGCGTCGGTCTGGAGTTTTATGACTCTTGGATCGATGGTTCTATCCCCGCCCGTGGTATGATCTGTAGTAACAGTCCGTATTCCTTCTTCCTTTGAAAGATAATGTCTTTAACAACTTTAATAATCAGGTTAGGTGTCAAAGTTGATGAAGGAAGTCTGGTTTTGTTTTATCTAGTAGTCAGGTACAGACTCCTGGCTGTCTTTAAGAAAGCACTGGACATGCATCTAAAGTCAGTACCTGACTAACCGGGCTGTGGTTCGTACGTCAGATTGCGTGCGGCCAGCAGTAACAGTCTGGTTGATCAGACCCTGGTCCACCATGAGGCCTGGTCTCAGACCGAGCCGCGAGGGCGTTGATCCCCGAAACCCTCTCCAGGTAACTCCAGGTGTGTGATCTAGTGCATCGGGCCGTGCCAGCATCCTTCACAACTGTCCTTCCTCGTTGTCATAGATTCCTTTTTTTTTTTGTCTGATTGCAGGGAAGATTTAGTGCTCAGAATTTGCTCTCTCGATTGCAGGGAATTAAGTGCTCTCTCTCTCTCTCTCTCTCTCTCTCTCTCTCAGAAAGCAAATTCAGAGTACTAAAGCTTCCCTGTAATTAGACAAAAAAAAAAAGAAAAAAAAAAAGAACGTATGACAACAAGGGAGAACAGTTGTGAAGGATGCTGGCACGTCCCGATGCACTAGATCATACATCTGACCACTAGATAAAACAAAAACTGACTTCCTACATCAACTTTGACATCAACCTGGTTATTAAAGACATTATCTTTCAAAGAAGGAACGCACACTCTTACTACAGAGATCTGGTCACTGCAGTTATCTCTCATCCTCGTTGTGTGTATGTGTGTGAAAGAGAGAGAGAGAGAGAGAGAGAGAGAGATGCTGATGCAGGTAACAGCTCTTAGCTTGTCAATAAAGTTAGGAATCCTTAACAAGTAAATAGCTTGTCAATAAAACTAGGGATCCTTAACCTTGTCAAATCATGCGTAAAGAGAGAGAGAGAGAGAGAGAGAGAGAGAGAGAGAAGAGAGAGAGGCAGTAGCGCCATCAAAAGCCAACTTAGACTTCATTAGGAAAAAAAAAAAAACAATGACCGTAATAAGTAGTATACATCGTTCTCTTCATGTTGGCAAAACCACTGAATAGGAGGAGAAAATGTGAGAGATGCTAAATATGAAGTGTAAGTTTTTTTTCTTTTAAGAAATTTTATATACTGAAATACTGAAAACTTATTTTATTTGATACTAAGAACATGTGAATTAGCTTAAACGAGATACCACTTTAAATTGTCCCTTCTAGAGTAAAGATGTCTTGATCAAAAGAAACAGTTATCTTTCCCTTTCTGGATCAAAGCTAATTACCTGATATTCCCATAGCGCTGGATAAGCCCTACTGATTTAGCACTTCAACCATGATTATAAAAATCATTGGCTATAAAATAATGCATTGAGAAAGTATGTTCTGCTTTGGAAGTGTGTTTGAACGTCAAGCGAAAAACAGGAAATATTGTGGCGATATACAAGTAAGTGGTAGGGAATATCTCTATATTTGCCTCGCTGACAATCATGGTCATAAAAATATTAGAAAGTGACTCAAACACCTGGGGAGCTAAAGCTTTTATCAAATCATTTTTCCTTCAGCAGAAACTTTTATTTTAAAACTAGGAAGCTGCAACGATTGTCACATACTATATTAAAAATAGTTAGCAAATGGCATTGATTAGATACAAAATATTTAAAGAACATAAGATTACTGGGCCCTGCTAGGTGCTCCAATACTCACACCCAACCACTAAATATTTAAAGCTACCCAAAGTCTTGTGAGTTTGTTCCGCTGATCTACTTCTATATTCCTACAACAGTTCTTCCTATATCTTTGTAAATATTAAGTTGTTCAGCCCATTACTGCGAGTCCAGTCTTAGTTAAATAGCGTTTTTATACCACTTCTATTCCTGGATTTTCATTAGTTCACTTCAGTCATATTCCCTAATTCTTCATCTTTTCAGAGTGAAAATTCAGTGCCATCAGTCCATCGTCGTAGGAAACGTTTTAAATAATTGGGTTTAACTTAATCATTTTTTATATATTTTTTCCAGTGTATATATATGTATATTCTGTAATATGGAGACCAAACCTGAGCAGCATAATGTGAAGAAGACCTTAAGAAAAATATTCATCGTTCAAGTATAACCTTAGGATTCCCATAGTTATATTTCTTGATATAAAGCCAAGATATCTATTAGCTTTGTGAACAATTATGTGCGTTTTTTTTTATTTTATTACTAACCAGAATCCCTACATCATTCTAGCATTCACTTTAGTTATTTTCTTTTTTTACAATTAAATTTTACATTAAGATCACAAAAATCTGCATCAGCCATTTCTCCGAAAATATCAGACTATCCAGGTTAGCTTATTGCTTTCTGGTGTCCTGATCTAAAATTTTATGGCCTCTTACTGTCATCAGCAAACTAACTCATGGTGCTATTTAATCCTCTTATCTATATTGCTTATGTAACTTGTGGATAACATGGGTCTCACTACTGACCCCTGTGTCAGTAATATTACTGGCATAGGTTGCGCTGTATGACCCTTGTAGGTTTAGCGCATTTTTATTATAATAATTACTGGCAAAGGGTCACCCTTCTGGTTTCAATGT